GAATGGTCTCCATCAGCAGGCTCTGCTTCCTCTCAGCTCCAGGGTGGAGGTGAGAGAGTTCCTGACATGAGCTCTGCATCCGAGTCACCTGAGGAACCACTAGAAAATGTGGACTCCAAACCCTGCCCCAGATCTTGTGATTCATGGTCCCCAGGGATGGGACCTGAACAGACTCCTGGCCTTGGAGACAAAAGATAGTCTTTTAGTCCTTCCCCTTTAGTCTAGGGCACTTAACCTGAGCCTCTGTTTCCCCATCGAAAACAGAATTGATCTTAGAAGCATGGAAGCTGTGAGAGGTGACGCAGGTAGACCTGTTAGGGCATCATGCCTGAGACATGGGGGCACTCTGACTGTTACCGAAGCCACCACAAAACCTAGTCCAGTGAGAAGCTCAGAGGCCTTAGTACTCTCACTCTTCATTACCTGCCAGAATCAAGAATGAGTCATTTGGAATGAAAGGCGGGGGGGCAAGCTCTCACCGCTGCTAAGTGACAAAAGTGAGGCTCCAGCCCAAACATCTGATTCAAGTCAGTGTTATTCCCACTGTTACACAAGAACCACACGATTCCTTCTGTCACGTAGTTCGTAGCCCTGCCCTAAAAAGGTGGACAGATTAGTCCACCTCAAAAGATAGGCATGACCTCATTTTTCATATGGGAAAACTGAAGCCTGGGGCAGGTAGAGACCTCCCCGAGAGTATTTTGCTTCTGTGACCTCACTGTACCCGGGGCAGAGAAGGCCTGTGATCCCCTATCATTGTCCCAGAGGCACGATGCCTTCTGGGTCTTTGTGGCCCTCTGTAACACCTGGCCACCGTATACCCAAGCAGTCATACAACAGGCCATCGTACAGGGGATCCGCTGACAGCGGGCCGGTAGAAAGTTCTCCGGGGGAGACTTCAGCCGGAGTGAGGGCGCTGGAGCCCCTGATGAAGACCCCGTGAGCACCTGCAGTGCAGTGCCACCTCATTTCTGATCACAGGGCCACTTTCAAGTTTTCCTTATGGGATTGACTGAGTGGGTTCCTGGAGACAGGGTGTCCCTCCCAGCGTCTAGTGTTGATCGATGGAAACATTTCCTTGGGGTCTGGAATCATCAGAGCAGCAGCCCCACCTCCCAGGCAGGGGGCAGCTCTGCTCCCAGATGTGTTCCCTGAGACATTGGTTCACTCTCCTAGGGGGCAGGCTGTGGTCCAAGGCGGGGGTGGAGAGTATGGGGGGGCGGGGATCTTCGCTGTCCAAAAATGGAGGCAGCAAAGGGAGGCTGGGTCTGGGCTTGACTCAGAGGAGTAAGTATGTGTTTGTGCTCTCCGTTATCCCCTCCTGTCCGCAGCTGGAAGATGTGGAATGGGAGGACTGGGAATGAGGGGCCAGAGCGCGCAGCTCCCCCGCCCACAGAACCTCCCACCCCCTCGCTCACCTCAGCCCAGCCCTGGAAGACACTGACTGAGAATGTCCCCCCAATGGCCTCTGTCAACCAGACCTTTGGGTGGCTCTTTGCTGGTCCTTTGGGCCTCGGCTCACATCGGGGAAGGGGCTCACTAAATCCAAATCAGGAACTCTGACTTGTGCCAACCGTAGGATGACTCGAGGGGGAGGAGCCCTGCCCCCCTCACCAGAAGAGCCTACCTTTCTCTGCTGAACACCCACTGTTCTTGGGGACTCTTGCTGGGAATTCCCAGGGGGTAACTCTAGCCCTTCTACCTGTGCAGGAGCTAAGCACCAGTCTCTCGGAGGAAGCTGAGAGAACAGTCTGCCCACCCGTAAGCAGGCAAGGAAGGCCATCCCACCTGTCCCAGCCAGGCTGGGAGGGCAAGCACATTTTGGTTCCTATCCCAGTGAGTGAGAGGCATTCGTGTCTGGGAAATTTGCCTCTCCTGGGAACCTCCCCTTCCCAGGCATTTTCCATTCCCAGAAAGGTCCCTTGTGGTTCCGAATCTAGAGACCAAACCCCGAGTTCCCACCTCCTCCTTTGGTCCAGCCCAGGCTGGTGTGTCCCCAACTGTGTCCCCAACGCCTCTCCCAGGGCTTCTTCATGTCAGATGCACCCAAGTCCTTAGCCCAGCCGTGCCACCTGCAAGAGTCTGGCTCTTGCATTTCTTCCCCTCCCCCAAGAAGGGAGGGGGTCACTTCAGGCCCTTCTGTGCATTGCCTGGCGGGATACCTTGTCCAACCAGCTACCCACCTCGACCCCCCCCCCGTAGCTTAGGACACAAGCCAGCTACCGGCGGTACAGAGCAGCGATCAAAGCCGAGTACTCACAGCTCTGGTAAGGCCGACTTCTCCACCTCAACCCTTCTGCTGCCTGAAGGGATATGCTGGGGGTGAACTTCTTGAGACTCTTAGCAGGCTTCTTCTGCAAAAGCTCTTCTTCCTGAAGACAAACCCAGTCTTTGTGGCTCTCACCCTCCTCTCTGGTCAAGCTCTTCCTCTGTTGGAGGACTGAGGGGCTGCGGGAATCCCCGAAGACCCTGGTGCTTTGTGATGCTGCTCTGGTGATTCTTGTACATAATCTGGTGTACTCACCAGTGGTTCAAAGGGATGGTGGTCAGGTACGCCAGGAGAGTGGTGGTCACTTCCGCTTGAAACCTTCAGTGAGGGGGTGGGATGGAGAGAATCTTCTTTTTTTTTTTTTTTTTTTTTTTTGATGGGATGGGGTTTTTCTCTTTGTAATTATTTCTTTAGTTGAATTAACTTTTTGGTTGTTTGTGCAATATTATATATTTTAAATTATAATGCATCTCCCCAGAGTATTTTGTAGCCAGGGAAAGAAAAAACAAAAAAAAGGAAAAAAAAAAAAAAAAGATTCTAACAGCTGTTAGTTTTGTAATTAAAAAAAGAAAGAAAAAAGAACTTTGTCCTGAACCTTTTCCAGACCTGCCGTTAACAGCATTAAAGAGATTCAACAGAAGCTGGAAGGTGTCTGGGGGTCCATTCTTATCCCCACCAGCAGTCACCCTGGAGCCGGGGCGGGACGAACACAGCGTGCAGGGTGGCTTCCTGCTCGGATCCTGGGGAAGGGGCAGGGGTGGCCGAGGTGGGGGGAAACGTCTGGGTCCCGAGGACATCCCTGCTCCTCATCTCAGACGCAGCTTCGACTTTGAGGTGAGGCAGGGAGAGGACCCCAGCGGGCCTCTTACCGAGACAAGGAGTCAAGAGGCCGTTTCTACATTCCCAACACTTCTGCTTTTATTCTAAAAGGAAGTGCCAACAATAGCGGTTCCAGCTGCCCTTGGTCATTTTTCTCCTCTCCTCCCCCCTGCACGCGTCTGAACCTGGGGCCTGTTTTTAATGAACTTTGGTCACAACAGCCTGCGCGAAAATCCCTTCTTAGCCATGATAAAAGGGAAGTCTGAACAAGGCCCTCGGATTCTACGAAGACATTTAAAGGGAAAGAGAGAAAGCTGGAGAAGGTGTAGGCACGTTTTAGGACACAAGTAAACTTAAAGTGTAAAATATATATCACCATTTTAGAAGCGGGTTTTTGGGTTTGCTTTCTCCCCCTGCTTTATTGGGGAGGACTTGCCATTGCTTTTATCAAGTGCTTGCTAGCCATGGATGCCAACTAACTTCTTCGATTGAAGGCCGGAGGATCATGTCTGGTTCCAGGAGCCGCTGGAGCAGGTCCTGGCATTCGGCCGAGATGCCCAGATGCGTGGGGAAGGACACCCCCTTCTGCTGCTGCCACAGCATCTTGGGGATGTCTGTGTCGTCAAAAGGTAGGCTGGCGCAGAGCATGACGTACAGGACCACGCCCATGCTCCAGACGTCGCCCTTCTTGCTGTCATGGGGAATACCCTGCAGCACCTCAGGAGCGGCGTAGGCTGTGCTGCCGCAGAAGGTCTGGCTCAGCTCTCGGCGTGACTTGGGCAACACCTTGGCGAAGCCAAAGTCCGTCAGCTTCAGGTTGAAGCCCTGCAACAAGGCGTTCTCACACTTTAGGTCCCGGTGGGCCACGCCACAGCCGTGGCAGTAGCGGATGGCTTCGACCATCTGACGGAAGAGGGCCTTGGCCCGGCTCTCGGGAAGCGGCCCCCCATTCAGCACACAGTCAAAGACATCCCCGCCTTCGGCCAGCTCCATCACCAGGTAGATTTTCCCGTCAGAGGACTCCAGCATCTCATACACCTGGATGATGTTCTTGTGGTCCAGGGTACGGACGATCTGGAGCTCCCGAGGCAGGAATCTCTGGATAAATTCTGAGGAAACAAGGGGAAAAGAAGTGGGGTCTCAAGTCCAGGAGGGCATAACCCTTCACTCCCATCCCCTGCCTTCCAGTTTCTCTGCCCACCACGTCTGGGTCTCGTGCCTTGGTTCCCATGAACAGTCTTAAATGTCTAGAGCTACTTGGACGTTGCAAAGAATGACTCCCTGCCATCCTCAAGGACTGGTGTGAGCAGCCCGTGAGACCGTGGATATCCAAGTGCTTTGGGGATCTTTAGATAAAACCACTGGATCGCAGCTAGGAGGCCCGATTTGCCATCTCCTCACGCCCCTGCCTCCTGCCCCACGGCTCTTCCCATGGGCCCTGTCTTCATTTTTCCCATTCCTAACTGCCTTGGCAGCGGCTCCTGCCCTCCACCAGCCCAGGCCGTGGTCCCTCTGCCCGTCTCTGTCCCCCTCCTGGAACAGGGAGGGCCACAGGCTGGGGTTCTGGCTCTGACCCTTCACTTCCTGCCACATTAACTTTGGGTTTTGGAGGATGTGACGGTCCTGGACTCCCAGCCTCCTTTTGTACCCCGCTGACCTCCAGCAGAACCAAACTCTTGCATTCCTTGGTTCCAGACTAAAGGGGAGGTGGGGATGTCCCTTCCCACTGGTGGAAGTGCCCACCCACCTCAACCAGCCCACCCTTCCTCCAGAGGGGCCCCAGCTCACCTTCTGGCCCTCCCATCCTGTCTATAATTTTAATTGCCACTTTTCTTTGGTGTTTTTTGGAAAATGCTTCTTTGACTTTTGAGTAGGTCCCTTCCCCAATGGTCTTGCCCAGCTGGTACCCATTGGAGAGCAGAAAGTCCTCCATGCTGTCTAGCGCCTCCTTCCTTCCTGTCACCCTCTCAGCTCATGCTGCCTCTGTGAGGCAGCTCTACTCCACCATCGCCCTTGGGCCGCTCCTTTTCCCCCCAAGGACTTCATCCGCAGCCGCCCCCAGCGCTAGAACATTCTCCGTCTGGACACAGCAGCCACGGGTGGTGGGGAGGGAGAGGACCAGACATTTTAAAACTGTGGCCCAATTGTGATGTAAATGCTGTGTGACCCTGGGCCAAAATGGGCAGTGCCCTTACCTGTCCTCACCATCACCACTACCAAACCCAGCCTGGTTTAAGTCACCGCCGCGCCCCCGCCCCCGCGCCAGGCGGGGAGTCGCAGCCCGCCCGGGGGCGCTCCCGGGCGTCTACGCGACTCCAGGGACGATGGGCTCCTTTTCTTAGACGCCGCCTCGCGGCTGCTTGCCGCCGCCTCCTGCCACCCGATCGGGCTGCGGGGGACCTGCCCGACCCCGTGCCAAGGCGCCATGGCAAGGGCCCTCCAGCCCTGGCTCGTGGCCGCGTTGAGTGCCTTGAGTGCCGGGCGGCCCGGGACTGCGGAGGGTTCCCGAAGGGAGGAACGGGCTCTGTGAGGTCAGAGCGCCGCGGCCCGGGTCACAATGCAACCCGCCCCCTCGACGCCTGGGCCGCGGCGCGCCGCAGACACCCGCCCGGCTCCGCCTGGACCGGAGCGTCCTCCCGCGGCCAGGGGTCGGGCAGCTGCTTCCAGCCTGGGACCGGCCTCGGCCTCTGGCAGGTGAGCAACGGCCCAGGGGGTGGGCGCGGGCAGGGGGCGCCCGGTAGCCCGGGGAGCGGCCTGACCGCCACTCCCCGCGCAGAGCGCCCCGGGGCCTAGACATGAGTGCCCAGGAGCCCTCGCAGGGTCGGAGATTCCCCATTGAGGCTGGAGACTCCCCTGGCCTTGCCGCTGCCCCCGAGTCCCAGGACAGCCCGGAGCCGGTAGCCACGGAGCACAACCGGGTCAGGTGAGACCCGCGCCCTCCCTGCAACCCCCGCCCTCTCCGCCGCGCGCGAAGCTCCCCCGGCGGCCCGCGTCCACTTTCCCTCCCCAGACCCCCCGCCCCCCACGTCCTCACCCCCCGTGCCCCACCCCCGCACCCCTCTCCACCCGCGTCGGGGACCCGCCGCCTCGCCGGAACCCCGGGGGAGGGGCCCGGGTGCACGCCCTGGGCGCGTTCCCAACAGCACGGGCCGGTCCCGCTCTCCCCAGGCCGCTTCGACGCTGCCCGGGCTGTCACTGCCTGACACTGCTGCACGTGCCCATCGACGTCTACCTGGCCATGGGCGGGAGCCCCCGGGCCCGCGCCACCTGAAGGCGCCTGCGTACGGCGGCTCCGCGGGAGCCGGGCGGGGGGACGAGGCCCGCAAAGGCCACCACGCTGAGGTCGCGCGCGCCGAGCACGAGACAATGATGCACATTTTAAAATAAAAGAATGATGCACATTTTAATAAAGCACAGCATAAACTGTTCTTTCCACTCCGGGCTGGCCGTGTGTGTCTATCCCGTCGATCCGTCCGCAAACTGCTCGGCCCCATCCAACAGCACCTTCCTTGTGGGGGCCTCCTCCTTTGGACCCAGCCCTAGAGGACCGCCCTCCCAGTCCACGCCAAGCCTTCCCCCCATTTCTTACTGGTCCTGGCCCCTTCCAGGGCAACCTTACCCCCTGCCCTCTCCTTGGTTTGCCAGTGAAATTGGCATAGCTGTGCTGCCTTCTGGGGGTCCAGAGAAGCTCTGGACTGGAGAGGTTGGACAGACAACTTAGAATAAAGAGGGTGGCTGCCCACAGCAAGCCTATTTAATTCTCCGAAGATGGAATTAGATTTTGTTCCCCACTGCTCTCTGACCTTGGGCACCTCTTGCTTTGTTGGAGGGATTAGTGGCCTCCCAGGCCATCTAGAGCTTTGATTTCTCCTAGGAGAGGTGGGACCAGACAAAGATAGGGAAAGAAATCCTTTGAAAGACTTTGATTTCTCATTTCTATTTTATAGGTGAAGGAACTGAGCCCTGAGAGACTTTCCCCGGGTTCCCCCGGATGATAGGTGGATAGGCGAGCACATTCCTCGGTGTCCTCTGACTTAATACTCTAAAATCCATCCAAGGCCGGGGGAGTGGCGAGGGTGGTCCATGACCTTCGGCTGCCTAGAGTGTAACATTGAGCTAAACAAGTATTTTTCACTTTCCAACTTTGCTTTAATGAGCCTGTGTTATTTTAATATTGGAAAAAATATACGTAACCCAAAGGTCAGGTTCAGTCTCCTGTCCCCTGAAATCAAAGTACAAGTGACCTAACACCCCTAATCCATATGGGGTAGACGTCCCAGCCCTCCCTAGAGCACTTCAGAATTCCACAGTCACCCACAAGGACCACCGTTCTTGATCTCCACACGTATTCTCTCCCAGGCAGTCCCAAATGTAGGAGACTTATTAAAAGAGAACAGGATGTCAGATATTGCACACCTGAAACTAAGTACACAGGAGGTTAACTAATTGGAATTTAAATTAAAACTTTAAAAAATTTTAAATACATTATAATTTTTTGAAGTTTAATTACTTATTTTGAGAGAGAGAGAGAGAGAGCACAGATGGAGCCGGGGAGGGGGGGTGGGGAGCAAAGGAGAGGAAGAGAATCCCAAACAGGCTCTGCACCAACCAGCACAGAACCCAATGCAGGGCTCAAACACACAAACCTTTTTTTTTTTTTTTTAATTTTTTTTTTTTAATGTTTTATTTATTTCTAAGAGAGAGAGAGAGACAGCGTGAGCAGGGGAGGGTCAGAGAGAGAGGGAGTCACAGACTGAAACAGGCCCCAGGCTCTGAGCTGGCAGTCAGCACAGAGCCCGATGCGGGGCTCGAACCCACGAACCGCGAGATCATGACCTAAGCGAAAGTCGGACGCTTAACCGACTAAGCCACCCAGGCGCCCCTCAAACACACAAACCTTGATGAGATCATGACCTGAGCCGAAGTCAGACGCTTAATTGACTGAGCCACCCAGGTGCCCCTAAAAAAAGATACACATTAGAGAGGTGCCTGGGTGGCTCAGTCGGTTAAGCAGCCGACTTTGGCTCAGGTCATGATCTCACAGTTTGTGGGTTCGAGCCCCGCATAGGACTCTGTGCTGACAGCTCAGAGCCTGGAGCTGGCTTTGGATTCTGTGTCTCCCTCTCGTTCTGCCCCTCTCCCGCCCGTGCTCTGTCTCTCTCTCTCTCTCTCTCAAAAATAAATGGAAAAAAAAAAATTTTTTTTTTTTTTAAAGATATACATTAGAAAAAGAAAACAAAAGAGGAGAGAATGTTTGCCAAAATAAGGTCTACTTCGACGTGAGGACTTTAGACTTGACCATTCACTGCCTGGTCCTTCAAACACCGTAGTTCTTGAAAGCCCTTCCGTGCCTTTCTTTCCCTTTCACCTACCAGAAGAATCCCTGGCTTCGGCCACGGTGCTGGCTTCTCCCTCCTCTTTATTCCTCTCTTCCTCCACCCTTAGTTCCTAGAGAGCCCCAGGGCCCTCAGTACTCTCTATTAAATGGAGTGATCCAGGGGTTTCCATCCCCAACAAACTCCAGGCAGGCCCTACCTAGCCTCTCAACCCATGCAGCTGCTCTGCAGAAAAAGGATCTTCTTCCCTAGAAACAGTACCACTCCTCCTTAGGAGGCCACTGTAAGTTTAAAGAGAAAAAAAGTTATTGGCCTCTGTATTGATAAGGTCTCTCCTTTGCAGGCAACTAAAATCAGCTTATGCCAAAAAGGAATGGATTGTTTCGAGTGGCGAGGAAGGATATAAGCTTTCCAGATACCTAAGCTTAAAGCAGAACTGTAGGAAGCAGGGTGTCTGCTGGGCCCACTAGGATTGCCCCTTGTGTCCCTCTCTAATCCCTGATTATCTCCTCTGGGCAGGAAGCGGGGCTGCTGCGGTTTGGCAATCTGAAATCTGCCCTTGGAAGGGAGAGTGCTTTCTCCCAGTCTCAGTTTACCTGACCTTGGGAAAGGCAGTGATTGGCCCTTCTTAAGTCACATGCACATTCCTTTGGCCAGTTACCATTGTCAGGGAAATGGGAGATTGTAACTGATGACCTGGGCCAACAGTGAGCCTACCCTGGAGGTAGATGCACGGCCAGGTGATCAACAGCATCACCAGAAAATAATGGGCAGAGATGGAGAAAAAAACAGTCCAGGAGCAGAGAGAGCTTATGCGAAGATTGGGTATACCTGGAGGAAAAGAAGCCTGAAAAGAGGAGATAAGGAGTGGCAGGAGTCAGGGTGACCACTCCGTTCCATGGCATTGAGGAGCCTTGGACAGTGTGACCAGGAGTCAGGCCACTGGGGGGGTTCTAGTTCAGGCTCTGTTCCTGACTCAGTCAATACAAGTCTACCAGCCAGGCCTGTGAAGGGCACTGGGGATTCAGAGTGAACTTGAAAGACACAGGTATTGGCCCTTTGGGAACTCACATAGCCTAGCAGGTGGAAAGCCTCACTCAGGCAAGTCCCTACTTCACAGCCTTAAGAAAGAAAGAAAAAAAAAAGCAGTTGGGGGTGCCTGGCTGGCTCGGTCACTCTTGATGTTAGGGTTGTGAGTTCAAGCCCCACACTGAGTGTAGAGATTATTTAAATACATAAATAAACTGTAATTTTACAAAAAAGGTGCCGGCTGATCCCTATGGACTTTGCCAGCCCCCAAATGCTAAATCCTTCCCATTTTTCCTTTCTCCTGCCTTCTCATCCTCCGTTCCTTTAAAAAAGATTTACTGCGGGGCACCTGGGTGGCTCCGTCGGTTAAGCATCCGACTTCGGCTCAGGTCATGATCTCGCGGTCTGTGGGTTCAAGCCCCACGTTGGGCTCTGTGCTGACGGCTAGCTCAGAGCCTGGAGCCTGTTTCAGATTCTGTGTCTCCCTCTCTCTCTGACCCTCCCCTGTTCATGCTGTCTCTCTCAAAAATAAATAAAAAATAAAAAGATTTACTGCCAGCCACCCCCCAAAGTGAGTGATACAAAGGTTTCAAACACATGCCTTGCTGATGAGCCAGCCTGTGGGGCTGCTTAGCTCCACTAGGTGGAGGGAACATTGTGGCCAAAGGCCTGGAGGCAGGACAGCAGAGGGCGAGGAAGTCAGTTCAGTCACCTTCTACCAACACCTACCTATCTGGGCTATACCAGGTGCTGAGAATGCAGGTTTGATTCTGACAGGTTCCTGCCCCTTGCAGAGCTCAGAATTCAGGCGATCCAGGGATGAGTTAACAGAAGACAAGCTGGATCAAGGAGGCCTTGAATTTGAGCTTTTTTTCTGTAGCTGACAAGGAAGCACGACAGGTCCCAACCTGAGCCACTTCACACTCCTATTTCCCTTCTCCTTTTCCATCCTGGTCTCTGATTCTTCCTCACTGCCACCGCCTCGCCCTCGCCCCCAAGCAACCCCCAGAAAAGCCACTGGCCTAAATTCTAGTCTTAGATTTGAGTCTTGACTCTGCCATTTACTAGCTGTGCAAACTTAGGCGAGGTACTTAGCCTCTCTGAGTCTCCATTTCCAAATCTGTAAAATGGGGCTAATGACACCTGCTGGAAGGTTTCATGCACATACACAGGGCAGGAATCTCTGGCACAGCTAGCACTTGAGCAAGAGAGGCTACTGCCCCTGCTATAGCTGCTCCTACCTCTGGCTTCAAGGGGCAGCAGAGAGCCAAGCCAGTCACATCCCCAATGGCTGGGCGATGTCCAGCCTCGGAGAGGATTGGGGAATCCCTCCCTCTTCCCTTCCCTCTGCCAACTTCCCAGAAGTTTTGCTCATGAACTTAGGAACTTGGTCGGGGGGCATTTCCAGGGGAATCCCCAGGTGGAAAAGGGAGAGCTGCCTCCCTCACCCTCGAGGGTAGAGCTGTCCCTAGACCCCAAAGCAGGACCCCCAGATTCCAACTTTATTCTCTGGGCCCAAGGAATAGGGAGGGACCTGGGGAAAGGGGCATGCTCGAATCACCGCTTCCCCTGACTCGCCTCTCAGACACCCTATTAGCTAGCCCCTCCCTAAAGGACCCCCTTTTAGAAGGAGGGGGCGAAATACAGATGGACCCCCAGGTTACCATGGAGATGGCAGGGAAAAGGTTGCTGTGTCGTCATGGCAACAATTGACGTCAGTACTACCATTTCCCGTTGCTTGATATGGAGGGGGGGGACAGCCACCCCAACCACAAGCAAATACCCCACAAAGCCTCCTCCCCTGACTGAGCCAATCAACCAGGGGGTCGACAGGCTTAATATAGCACAGAGTTAAAAGCAGTCTCTGATGTCAGTCAAACTTTGGTTCAAATCATTCTGCCTCGTCTTAGCTGTGGGAATTTGAGCAAGTTCCTTAAGCTCTGGAAGTCTCATTGTACAACGGCGATGAATAAGCTATGTGCCTCCAAGGGTTGCTGTGAGGATTGCATGGGATCATGCAGGTAATGGGCATTCGGCCAGCTCGTGGGAGGTGCACACTGACATTAGGGCCTGTTGAGTCTCGGGAACCCATTAATGGATGTGGCACTTCAGATATAGAACCACAGCCCCTACAGAGCCTAGAGAAGATTTCCAAGGACTGGGCCCCTGATTCTGAGCATCTCAGAACTGGGGGGGACTCAAGGTGGAGCACAGGCAGTGGAATTTCCAGACTCTGAGGAAACCCCAGATGCCACTTTCCCTGAAACCCCATCACATCCGGGCTCTGACCCAACTTCCCCTTTCTCCTCCCCTCTGCCTCCTCCGAGGCCTTCTCAACAGCCTTCTACCTCTTGGGCCTCGATCTGGTCTTCTAGGGAAAGGGATGGATGAAGGCACATGGGAAGACACAACCAAGCAGGCACCAGGTAGGTCAGTAGGTTGGACACCACTGGGATATGGGTGTCCCGGCTCCTACTGGCCTCTCGAGGGTGGGTGTGGACACCAAAAGCATTCTCCTTCCCTGTCTCTGCCCCCACCTTCTGTCCAGGCAACCAGAGCCATTATGCTCCAGCTCCCCGCCACCACCCTGAATCAGGCCCCCATCACAGCCCAAGCAGCCTCCTAACTGGACTCCCTGCTTACCTTCCTGGCTTGATGCGTCCAGTCCAGAATTATTTATAAAGACTGCAAACCCAGCCATGCTATTCTCCTAATTAACTCTCATCAATGGCTTCTCTACGTCACTTACCCAGGGGCACTAGACACGCCTCAGCAATTCACACAAAGCTCTGCCCACCCTTCAGCGCGCTGTTCCTTCTGCCTGGAATAGCTTCCCTCCCAATCCCACTTACCATTCAGACGTCCACCAATTGTCACTTCTCAAGGAAGCCTCCTCTGACCACCTGTCCTTCCTCTCTCATAGCACCTGCTTATCTGTTCCTTGATCCCTGATGAATGTCTGCCTGTCTTCCCCCATTACACTGCGGACTCACCGAGGGCAGGGGCTGTGTCGCGTTCATCCTGACATCCCAGGGGCCTAGAATGGCCGGGCTCAGGAGTTTGTAGAATGTCTGCCGATTAGACTAGCTGGTGAATGCTTGATAAGTCCACAGGGGAGAGGCCCCAGTGCTGTGAGGAGAAGGAACAGAGCCAGCTAGGAGGCCCAGAATGGTTCCCCCAGTGGATCTCAGACGAGCAGCAGTTACCCAGGCAAGGGCATGGAGGTGGGAAATGTCCCTGGCACTGTGATTGGTATGTGCCAAGGGTGAACCTGGTGCTGAAGACACTGTCCAGAGGGACATACTCATGTTTTGGAAATATAACGCTGGCTGCTTGTGGGGAACAGACCACATAAAGGGATAGAAAGCAGCAGCAGGAGAGACAACTCAGGAGGCTGCTGCGAACTCCCCGAACTCCCCGGTGGAAGGCAATGGGGCTGCACCAGGCATTCGTTAGCAATGGAAATAGAAGCAATGGGATTTTTTAAAAAATATTTTTATTTATTTCTAGGAGAGAGAGAGAGAGAGACAGCGTGAGCAGGGGAGGGTCAGAGAGAGAGGGAGATACAGACTCCGAAATAGGCTCCAGGCTCTGAGCTGGCAGTCAGCACAGAGCCCGACGCGGGGCTCGAACCCACGAACCGCGAGATCATGACCTAAGCGAAAGTTGGACACTTAAAAGACTAAGCCACCCAGGCGCCCCAGAAGCAATGGGATTTTTAAAATGTGAGGGCACCTGGGCTGCTCAGTCGGTTAGGCATCTGACTCTTGATTTCAGCTCAGGTCATGATCTCACAGTTTGTGAGCCCAAGCCCGTCAGGCTCTGCATTGACAGCCTGCTTGGAATTCTCCCTCTTTCTCAAAATAAATAAACTTTAAAATAAAATAAAATGTCCTGGAGAAGACAGGATTTCATAGCTGGTTAAATATGAAAGAGAGAGAAGAGCCTAGAACAAAACCCAGATTTTTCATACTGGCAACCAAGAAAATTTCCAAGCTAGGGACGCCTGGGTGGCTCAGTCGGTTGAGCTTCCGATTTGTGGGTTCGAGCCCTGCGTCTGGCTCTGTGCTGACAGCCCAGAGCCTGGAGCCTGCTTTGGATTCTGTGTCTTCCTCTCTGTCTGCCCCTCCTCCACTCGCACTATGTGTGTGTCTCTCTCTCAAAAATAAATAAACATTTTAAAAAATGAAAATGAACAAGCTAGGGAACATAGGAGGGAGGGCAGGCATGGGGCATATTTCCTGTGAGGTGGGGCACCTGGGTGGGGGGAAGGGATGTCCAGGAGACAGGTGTGGGGCAGGGAAGACAGCTCAGAGCTGAAAGAGAGAAGTGAGTCTCTGACACAGGTGGACACGCAAGGCATGGGAACCAATGAGACTCGGGACATGATTAGGCAGTGAGCAAAGGATGAGAAATTTGCCATGTGGCAGCAACCGGTAAGATGACAAGAAAATCAAGAGTGCACAGTGTCCAGAAAAACAAGGACACAAAACTATTTCAAGTAGGAGGGAGCATTTGTATCCAAGTCAGCCACTGCTACAAGGTCAAGTCAGATAAAGACTCGAGAGCATCCCTTGGATTTAGCAACAAGGAGGTCAGTGGCGACCTTGACGAGCTGCTCCCGTGGAATGGTGGGGGTGGTAGCCAGATTGCAGGGGCTGAGTGAGGAAGTGGAAACAGCGTGTGTACACAACTCTCTCAAGAATGTTGGCTGTGAAGGGGAGCTGGAGAAGGACATGGGGTTGAAGGAAGGCTTTCTTCTTTTTCAAAGATAGGAGAGACTAGAGCCTGTTTGTTTGCTGCTGGGAAGGAGCCATCAGGGAGGGAGAGGTTGGAGATAGGGAAAAGAGGAAGGGATGGGGTGGGGGGAGAGTCCCCAAGGAAGGAAAAATCCCCAAATATGGCTGCACAATTGGGGGACAAGTCAGGGCCTGTACTGGGCCCCGGGGGCTCCAAACAGCTGCCCACTCTCCCCAGCAGCCAGCGTGAGTCACTGGGGGGAAATAGCCCAAACTGGCAGTGTGGGAAAGGGAGCTGGGCCAGCACGTTCCTCAGGATCCCCAGGGGGTCGGGGAGCAGGGCCCAGCCTGGGCTCTGAGCCCTGAACCCCATGCTCTGATCAGAACAAGGGCACAGAGGAGTTGTCTCACCCTTTGCAGGGGCCGGCAGAGTGGTATGAGGTCTGGGTTTTTCTTTTGGCTTTTTTACTGCCACTCTCGGAACCTCAGTTTCCCCTCGCCAAAGAGCGTGTTAGACCAGACCAAGGGCTTTTAACTTTTGCAATGGTGGGAGGGCGGCAGGGAGATGCTGTCGCAGATCCTTTCTAAATTCTTCCCAGAAATATATGTGTATTTGGAACTTTGGGACAGTCTAGGGGGTCCTGGATCCCCAGAAGTTCATTCATAGAACGTCTCCAGATGAGAACTCTGAACTAGTGCTGGCTGAGGAGCCCTCTGCCTCTGACATTTAAAGTGCCCCGGAGCAAGGGAAAAGGTTCTCATAAGGGCCATGGGAGGCAGAGGTAGAGGACTCTGAAGCCGGGGAACAGGGCCACCTTTGAGGTGAGAGTTCCTCCTAAGCGTGCCATCAGCGGTCTGTCTGCAGGCAGAGGCTGGAGGCCCCTGTGATGGGGATGGTCTATCTAACTGGCAGCTGACCTTACTGCCACCGGCCCCCTCTTGCTGCCTCTGCCCCTTCTGTCCTTGGTGCCGCGGGCTGGGCGGGGAAGTGTCTCAGGAGATTTTGGGAATCTGGTGCCTGGCCCCCTCCCACCAAAGCAGCTGGTGAAGTCAGACCATACTCTAGACCCCGCCCGCCCGAGGGGCTGGTGCTGCCCCCACCCCGCTCTGCCAGCTGACGCCTCCTGCTAAAAACAGCCGTCCCGGGGGGACTATGGGCTTTCAGGCCTCCCCCTCCACCCCCGGCAGGTATTTAAGAGGCCGAAGCAGGGCCAGGCAGGCTGGACGCCATGCTCTTCACCGAGACTGCCCACTTCGTAGTGAATTTTCTTCTGTCCCGGTGAGGGGGGCCCCGGGGAGGGCGCTGGCGAGATAAAGGGGCCTGGTCCCGCAGTCGGGGGAGGAGGTGTCCAGGCCTGAGTACCTCGATGCAACCCCTCTTAATGTCCCTCTCCGTCCCTCTAAAGTGTCCCTCGACCACGAGTGACGCTGACCCACTCCCCGCCGCGTGTGGTCCGAGGCGGCCCCCTTCTCCCCGCCCGTCGTGCTCTGGGGTGACTGCTGCCGCGTCTCCCCCGCAGACGGCCCCGGGCCACGCCCCCGCACCGCCTGGACCAGGAGTTGTGTTTCTGGGGCTGCCGGGGCCCGGCCTTGCCGGCGCCTGCCTCCCGCCGCAGCCTGGGCGACTACTGGCTGAGCCCGCAGCGCCGCCGCCCGCCGGGCGCCGCCTGGCGCTGGCCCGCGCGCAACCTGCTGCTGCTGCCGGGGGCCACCGGCCTGGCCGACGTCCCCTCGGCGCGCTGGCCCAGCTGCTACGGCGCGCGCCCGCGCCTCACGTGAGCGCGCGGGGCGGGGCCGAGGCACTGGAGGGTGGGGCGGGGCGGGGCGGTGGGAGGTGGGGCCTCAGCGAAGGAGCGGATCCCCAGAGCCCAGGGCCCGTCAGGGGTTGGATAGCTGGGCCTGACGGTGCCTGGGAGCGGGAGGAGGGGGCGGAACTTGGTAGGAAGGGCGGGGCCTGAGGCTGCCGAGAGCGGAGGGAAAGGCGGGGCTATGCGGAATGGGTGTAGACCTGGAGGGAGGCGGAGCCTTGCCCCCATCCGGTCTGTCCAATTTTCCCTCCCTCCAGATGGAAGCACCGATGGCAGAATATTAACTATCAATTTCTGGGCAAGAGGAAAAGACATCTAGTTCCCCTGCGCCCGTGAGAGCCGGTGAGGGGCGTGGCCAAAAGAGGGCGCTGCCTACGGGGGGCGGGGCCTAGCGGTGAGGTGGGGGAAGGGCAAGGTGTGAGCACCCAGTGGGTCCTCCGCAGCCACTGCCCCCCAGGCTCCAGGACCTGGAGGGGTTGAGCCACAGTGCGAAGGGCCCCTAGGGCGGCTGTGGGACGCTGCGTGGTTACCCATCCCTTCCCTTCTCTACCACAAACAGGTTTTAAAAGACTGACAGATCTGGGGTTCCTGGCAGGCTCCCTCAGATCGAGTGACTCTTCATCTCTGGGTTGTGAGTTCAAGCCCCACATTGGGTGCGGAGGTTACTTTAAAAAAAAAAAATACAGAATCTAGAAGATTGATGGATTTGACTATTAAAATTTCTGTTCATCAAAAGGCACCTCAAAATGTAAAATTAGGCAGGGATGCCTGGGTGGCTCAGTCGGTTGTGAGTGGGTCTCTTGATTTCTGCCCAGGTCATGATCTCATGTGTAGTGAGATCGAACCCTGTGTCCGTCTCTGCACTGACAGCGCGGAGCCAGTTGGAGATTCTCTCTCCGTCTCGCTCTCTGCCCCTCACCTGGTCACTTGCTCTCGCTCTCTCTCTCTCTTAAAATAAATAAACTTTATTATTTTTTAACGTTTATTTGTTTTTGAGAGAGAGGGAGCATGAGCAAGGGAGGGACAGAGGGATAGGGGGGCACAGAGGATCCAAAGCAGGCTCTGTGCTGACAGCAGCTAGCCCGACGTGGGGCCCGAACTCATGAACCACGAGTTCACAACCTGAGCCGGAGTCGGGCACTTAACTGACTGAGCCACCCAGGCACCCCTCAAAATAAATAAACTTAAAAAAAAAGTAAAATACACAGAGGGACACCTGGCTGGCTCAGTCAGCAGAGTATGCAACTCTTGATCTCAAGCTCCTGAATTGGAGCCCCACATTAGGCATAGAGATTACTTTAAAACAACAACAATAATAATAAAGGTAAAATAGCATTCCAAACAAGCCTCCTGCCTAGCAACCTAAGAGAAAGGAAAGCTCTGGTGGCCTTGAAGGCAGGGTCCTGGCAGCCATCCTATGCGCATCTCAGAGTATCTGCATCCGCCCCTGAGCTGACCATGGTTCTGTTTCTCTGGTATCCATCTCTGATCTCGATGTCCGTTCACTTTAGCCGACAAATACTTATCAAGGGCCTATTTTAGTTTGTACCAGGCTTATATTCCAAGTCATCGGGTTCACATTGGCAAAACAAACTATTGAAGTCCCTGCCCTCATGGGGCTTACATTCTGGTTAGAGAGACATACAATAAAATGAAGTCAGAGATAAATAGTGTGCTCTGTGCTCGAGAAGAACAAGGTGGGCCAGCTGCTGTATATGGAATGAGCAGGGACTTTGTCTTATCTAGAACAGTGCCTGACTCATAATTGAGGCTCAGTAAATGTTTGTTTGTTTGTTTGTTTGTTTGTTTGGGGGAGGAGGCTCAGTAAATAATGAATGAATGCATGCGTTGGTTAGGAGGTCCTGTCTGAAGAGATAACTCTCAGTCAAGGTGTGAAGGATGAGGGATCAGCCACTCCTGACTCTGGGAAGAGTGTTCTGAGCAGAGGGAACAGCATACGCTCAGTGGGTGGCCCCTTGTCTCTGGCTGTCAGCCCTGGAGTCTCCCTGTTTGCTGTGTCTCTGTTTCTCTTTGTTGTCTCTGTGATCTTGGGAATCGAAAGGCAGGTTTAAACAGCAGCCCTCCAGGGTCTCTGGAAGTGAGGTCACTGCTGAGCTGATTCACCCCCTGGCCTCCTCTGACCTAACTAGCCCGGCCTGGACATTCCCCTGGAAGCAGGCCCTCCCCGCGGCCGCCTCAGTCCCACAGCCTCAGGCTCCTTCCAGAGTAGCATCCTGTAGCCCGGCAGGAAGTCCTTCATGCTATCTAACCACAATCCTGCCAAGGTGGCCCCGGACCTTCCTCTCATTCTGCCTTGCAGGCAGAGGAGTCCTGCCTGGACAGAGACCCCAGGAAAGACCTGACAGAGTGGGAATAATACCCCCCTGCAGCCCCAGGGAGGCGAACCCCAGACGGGCCAAGTAATCACTCATCTCAGAAGCCTCTGCCACATCCATTTTCTCATTGAGCCCTGCAACCCCCCATTTTACAGACAGAAACTCAAGCAGGCCCAGAGAGGAAAAGGGGCAGAACTGGGACCAGAACCCAGCTCTCTTGTCAAAATAGTAATAATTGACTCTCCGCCAGGTACTATGCTAAAACTTCGCATGAGTTTTCTTTTTTAAGACTTCTCACAAACCTACAAGGTGGGTACCATCGCTGTTTCCATCATTCTCCGAGGAGGAGACTGAGGCTCTGAGCCGGCACGTGACTTGCTCAAGGCCACCCAGAGTGTAGGCGGCAGAGCTGCCTGTGACCCCAGGCAGTGTGGCATGCCCAGCTACACACCCTGCGTCCCCAGGCTCCAGAGGACTGTCACGGATGTCTGTTTTCCAGGGATCCGCAGGGACCGGCTTCAGGTTCATCACAGGATGGTCCCGAGGCTGACTGGTGCCGAGCCAAGATGAGCAGGAAGATGTCCTGGGAACACTGCACAATCTTGTGTCCCTCTCTGGGGGTGAAGATTCTCTACTTTTGCCCTCTCCCCTGGGGTCTCTGTGTTTCTGCCCCTACTGCCCAAATAAAGCAGTTTTCACCTCTCTCTGGCTCTCTCTACCTTGGGAGCAATCATTTCAATCCTCCCCACTCACACACACTGAATTAGACTGAACCCAGCAGGCTGGGAGGGCATCTGCTGTCACTCCTGACCCTTCCACTGCCCCCAGGTCCCCCCGAGCCTCCTCTACGGCACAGACTAGACGAACCCCAGACCTGGATCCTACTGTCTCAATGCTGCAAGAGGGTGACATTAGTTTGTCCGGGGCCCAGGGAGTCCTCCAATGGGTCAGGACAGACTCCAGCATGGCTTCCTTGAGCGAAAGCCTAATAGGCAGGCAGCCACTGGGCAGGCACACACAGGGAACTGCGCTCCAGGCAACGCGGGCAGCACAGAGGAAGTTTCGGTCACTTACGGGCTGAAATGGTCATCCCGCTGACGGAACTGTGAGACTGGCCACCGGTGGGCTCTGCCTGAAATGAGGCTAACTGGGCCTGGAGCTTCAAAGACCTTGAATGCCAAAATAAGGGGTTGGACATTCTCCAGGAGGAGGTTGGGAACAAGGACAGGTTTAAAGCAAGGGAGGGACATGGTCCCCTCAAGGCATCTCCGGGTCCAGAGGTCCCCCCTCTGGAGCCTCAGGGTCCATGCTGGTGAATGAGTAGTCTCTCTGGCCCTCAACTAGGTCCGAGGCCTCAGGGCACCTGTCCCTGTGCTCCCCCATCACACACTCTCCTGGCTCCCACTTGTGACTGAGGCTGAGAGTGGATCCTGCCCCCGCCTCAGAGGGTGCTGATGGCTGGAGGAGGGAGTCTTTGGGCTGCTCTCCTAACTCATGCACTCAGTGGTCTACAGCAGCCCCCTTCCCCACCTTATGAGACCTACCTATGGCCCATCCCATGCCCTGGGCAGGGGCCTCAGTCACATAAACAGGTAAGTACAGACAGACCCACGCTAGCTCCCCAAAGGAGCAGCCTTCTAGAACATTCTCTCTTCCTCCTCCAGCCCCTCTCCCTCCACATGGGACCCAGTCCCTATCTCTGGTGCTCCCTGCTCCCTGAATGTCTCTGGATGTTATCTTCTCCTCCTCTGCTCCCTGGCCTCCCCTAGTTTCAGACACCATCGCTTTCATCAGGATCAGTCTCTCCCTGCTTTTCTCACCAACAACTCTGTCCCCTCTACACTACCAGGGCTCATTTTCCTGTTTTGTATGTCCTTGTGGGTCATCAGGATGATCGCCAAGGGTAGCTGGAGTTCTGGAGAGATCTAGGCTAGAGACAGAGACTCCAGGCATCAGCATATAGACTCTCTCCCTCCCTCTCTCTCTCTCTCACACACACACACAGCACAGATTTCTCTCTACACCCATGGATCCTAATGACATCCCAAAGTCGCCTCACCTCAACCTGTCCCAAACTGACCTCTCTGTTCCCATGTGTACCCACGGGTCCTCCTCTAGGCTTCCGTGGGCCGTTTGGCACCTCCTTCCCCTCAGTCGTCCAAGCTGGAACCTCAGGGCCACGCTCAGTCCTTCCTCCTCACGCGCTCACTCTCTCAATTCTTAGTCCTTCCCAAGTCCCGCGCCTTCTGCCCCCTGAACTCCACCCAGACCTCTCTCTCTCTATCTGCCTCCACCCTTTAGCAGCATTTGACATGGTGAGGCCCTCACTGCTTTGGGAACCATTGCTTCGCTCAGCCTTCAGGACACCCCTGCTCCTGGGCCTCTTCCTTTCTCACTGAGCATCAGCTGAATGCCTCTGCCGGCTCCCCTCCCAGAGCCTAAATACTGGCGAGTCCCTGGAACTGTCTTCTTGAGCCACTCCCTCTCTCCAGTGAATTTTCAAACTTGGGACACCCCCAAACTCTTAAGTGCAGGCTCCTGGACCCATTAACTGCTAGCCTGATGTTTCCAGGGGGACTGTAACGGGCTTCTCAAACATGAACTCCAAAGCTGCACTCGGAAGCCCCAGCACTGAGAACGGGCCCAGTTCCGGAAATGCTGGCATTGACTGACACTTGACTGAAACTGTCCAGGCCCCCCCACTGGCTCTTGCCTGGGTGACTGCAACGGCCCAGTGTTTCCCTGCTGCATGGCAGGGAGGGCCATCCAGGCAGAGGGACTGCCTGCGTAAAGGCAGGGAGGAGAGCAGGGTCATGGCTTGGAGGAAAGTCTGGAGTGCGCTCTGGGCATCAGATCTCGAAGGCCTTACGTATAACGTGCAGACACCCCGAGGGCAATAGGAAGCCACAGTTAAAGCCAAGGGGACAGACTAGATTTGACATTTCTTTGACTCCTTCGTGCCTTCCTTCACACATTAACTCCATCAGCCAATAAATATTTATTGAGCACCCTCTATTGGAAAGGAACCCCGAGACAGAAGAGAACAGCTGGAGAGGCTGGACTTGGGGCAGAGACACAAATGAGGAGCTGATGAAACGCTGTAGGCCCGGGCGCAGGTGAGAAGGACCACAGTTGTGGAGGTGGAGGTGGAGGAGAGCGGATGATGAGCTGAGGTGGGGGGTCAGGTTTCTGGTTTGGGCAAGAATCGGATAGGTATGGAGTGTGTGGTTGGGAGAGCCCTCTCTCCCTCCCGCGGAACCTGGAAGGAGTGATTTTGACCTGGGTTTTAAGAGAGGAGTAAAAATTCAGGAAGTAGACAAGTGGAAAGAGGCATTCTAGGTAGAGGGAACAGCATGTTCAAAGGCCCTGAGGGGCGAGAAGCTCCATACTCTGAGGAGCTGAAAAGCCAGTAGAGTTGAAGTTCAGTGAGCCAGAGAAAAAGGCAGGGGGGACAAATGAGGCCGGGAGCTTGAACTCTCTGAGGCATGACCTGGGGCACTTGGGGAGGCTCACCAGGCTATTGCCACCCCCACCCCACCCCCCGTGCAGACAGGAAGGATAGAGAATTTGAGAAGGGGCTAGGAGGGGACAGACAGATGAAGTGTGTATTGGAGTGGGGGGCTTCCTAGCATGTCTTTCTGGGAAAAGTCACTAAGAAGAAGTCCCAATGGGACATTTCAGAGGTACAAGAGGAGAGAGAGAGGATCCTCTGGGTTCTGGGGAGACTCCTTTGCCGTGTAAGGAATTGATTGAGCCAAATAAGTTTCCCTCTGAATAAGTCAGCATCCTTAGAACAGCCCTCTGCCACCTGTCCCAGAAGAAAGTTGGTGGAGGGGATGCCAGGTCATCTCAGGGAGCCCTTGGACTCCTGCCTCCTCTCCCCAGGCCCGGGGAACGGGCACACTGGTGAATGCCAAGTTTGTGCCACGCCCTCAACCAGCATTTCACTCAATTGCACCTACAAATATTGCTGGGCGCTCCCCCTCTGCTCTGCGCCCCAGCTGCTTGGTTTTAAATGGCAGTAGCTCATTTGCCTCACAGTATCCCCACGACATGGCTATCACCATCCCCACTTTACAGATGAGGACACTGAGGCTCAGAGAGGGCCTGCGGCCCCACAGCCAGGACATGATGCTTCATCCCTACAACTGCCTCAACACGAAAATACCTCGCTGAGCCCTTGCCACAGCCTGAAGTGGCCCCCAGGCTCCTCATTTCACAGAGGGTGCCCTGGGAGCCCTGGGAAGGGGAGGGACCTGCCTGGGGTCACAAAGCTGCAGGGTGCAGGGTGGGTCCAGCTCATCTGGAGGAAGAAGCTGGATGGGAGAAGCCAGGGGTCTGAGCTGTGCGGAGAGGAAGGGGTGGCCCTGGGGACTGGACTAGGACAGGCTTTCAGTTTCCCTTTGAAAGGGACTTCCCCTGAGTGGGGGATTTTGATTGGAAAGTTGTAAGCAATCCGCATTCCACTGGTTTGGCTGCCTCTTCCCCACCTCTTCCCCGATGGGACCCAGGAATCTGAAAAGAAACTGAAAGTTGGGAAGAGGGGAGGGAAGGGGGAAGGGAGCGGCGAGGGCAGTCCAGAGCAAGCGGGTTGAATTTCTGGTGACCTCATCGAGCCTGGGGGAGATAGGCAGGTGAGCTGCGATGACACACCGTTTGGCTGTTGGGGAAATAGAGCCCCGGACAGACAGCTCTGTTAGATAGTGACTGGGCCCTGGCCAGGTTACACAACCACCCCCCCCACCCCAGCCCCACACACGCACGCATGCACACACATGCACACAGGCACGTGTGCGCACACGCACGCACCTTCTCAGAGACCAAGTCAAGAGGGAGGGAAAGGAAGAAATAAAAGGGTCGAGCGGGGGCGCCTGGGTGGCTTAGTCGGTTAGGCGTCCGACTTTCGCTTAGGTCATGATCTCGCGGTTCATGGGTTCGAGCCCCGCGTCAGGCTCTGTGCTGACTGCCAGCTCAGAGCCTGG